GTGGTAAATTCTAGAGAATATATGTACAAAATAGATGGTATGGAGCAAGCATGAGAGGATGGTATCGACAGAGAAACCAAAGCGATGTCCTTTTAATGTAGCCTTGCGAAAGGGGCACCACGATCATATTTTGCAGAGGCTCAATGCGGATACAATGCTGATTCCAGGCAAAGTGTTCTGCTGTGGAGCATGCAAATTCCTATGAACATCAACTTTAAAAATCATCGTTTGAGGCCTTACGTTGAGGCTAAATGTATATTCGTGGCCTGAGTAGACTTTCGTCCCGGTAAGGGGCTTATCAGGCAAGGTGGCTTTATTGACTACGACTTAATAATGATAAAGACCTCTCGACCATCATGGTCGAGCGTCATGACTTTGTTCATATGATGTATTGAGGCCAAACGCTGTCACAAGCACAATGAGCAGCTTTCTAGCGGACATCAACTCAAATAAGACGGAACCGTGAAGAAATCGATTCAAACAGGAGAATTCCAGCTACAAGATGAAAGAAAATCAAACTCATCTTTAAGTGAAAATAATAAAAACGTATATCGGCAGTTACATTCTTTCTAATATATGATAGGTTTGGAATCTCGCCTACACAGAATTCGGGGCTTTTTATTACGAAAAAAAGGTTTTTTGCCAAGAAGTCATCGGAATAAGCCACTGGACTCAGTTTACTCTGTCCTGATCCTTGGTCTGTCATCTAATAAACATCGTCAGAACCATGAGCCATCCAATAAGATATCTTTAAACACTTAGTCAGGCCTAGCAATAAACAACCACGACATCCTTGCCTCAACATAGCCATTATTTTCTATCGTGGAATGATATATAATTAGTTCATCTCAACCATGTGCTATTTTATGCGTTCTATTGCTACGCTTGTTACACGATTACATTTTCTGAGAGGTTAAATTTATGGACGGTTCATATCCAAGAGCTCATTAACCAACACACCTTCATTTTGTTTTTTAATCATTACAAATAACTGACGCACCTATAATACGTGCCCTCTTTATGCTGTTACGGTTCCCATTAATGAATATATTCGTATTCTAACTTTTTTAATATCCAATTTCGTATTTGAACTCACTTTGTTATCTATCCCGAAGGGATCTTTAAATACCTTGTCGAGTACTAATACAATTTAACGGTATATATATTATGCAAACTTGATTATATATTTTTATTAAGTATTATAATTTACAATATACCTGTGTAAAAATTACCATTTGCTTGCTATTTACTCTTCAGCATCATCTTTAATTTTTCAGTCAGGTTGTCGTATCCTGCTCAGCATACTTGTGCACCCTGATGCCATTCATTTCTCTGCTTCATTTTGCCCTGGCTGCTCATGTCCTCTAATTGGTGCTTCTCGTCTTCGCGCCTCAACTATTGATCCGTGTGTTGGAGTTTCACAATCAGAAAGAATAGAAGCTGACGTTGCAAGGACAGGGGAAATTTTTGTCGGCAATTCTACTGGTTCATCTCCTTTGAGGGAAAATTGTCCCTTAGCTTTGGTGCATCATCGGCTTGCTCAATTATGTGATGCACTAGACGAAGCTGGAGCGGTTATTCTTTCACCTGCCTTGCTTTCATCCGCTCAGAAGTTGCAACTTTGGGGCGATGGTTTGCGAAGTTGGATTGATCATTTGGATCGTCTATTTTCGAAAATTGGTGATGAGAGCATCAAGGTAAATAATTTGCTCTTGGAATAAGCTATTCTTACTTTGTATATTAAAATTTCGCTTAGGTTCTAACGGTCTCTATTTTACGAATCAGTGTTTGAAAGAACTTTAAAAAAAAATTAATAGGTTAATCGGATGTGTGAAGCCCAAAATGGTTTGGCTTTCAATATGGTGGCGTTATTCTATCGCAATTTATACGTGGTTTTACCTCGTTTTCATAACCCAATCGTGCTGTCAGAAACCTGCATGAACACAACTTGTCTGGGGTCCTCCGCCTTAGTATCCATGATCATTTATATCGTCTGCCGTGGACTTAGTGCATTCCCAGACGTTTTGCCTGCGTTTTAGCCGACGTCGCCAGTGAACCTTCCCACTCTTAGGATCACTTCAACTCGTCAACGCGATAAGTGAAGTCAATCCCTTGACCACTCGTCTGCTGAACAGTTGTAGTATTTCTCCTGTCCTTGTACATTCATCTATTCCATATTCTTGTATCGTCCCCTACATTATCACAATTTATAACCTTATTTTAACCTACTCCAGGTGTGACTTTGACTGGATTTAATAGGCCTATTCACGCTCCCTGCTAATCCCCGCATCTCCCATTGTGCTGTAGCTGGTTGACGTTGATACAACATTCATGTTAACGCAGTCCATGAGACATCTTACCTCGTTTCGGGTGAAAACAGGCTGAGCTTACATCCATCATATGATGGATATTATCCTATATGGAACTCATTCTTGTAAAAGTCTCATGTTAACATTAGGTCAAGAAGACGATCCGGCTCTATCTTACCCCTTATATATATATATACTCATAAATAAAAACGAAAATGAATAGGCATATGATGGTTTGGCTAATTATCTTTCATACTATTCCTGCTACTTTTGCTAAAGTGTATGTATGTGTGTGTTAACGTCTACACACAAAACCGGTCCTAAATCAGAGTGATCAAAACAGGCTTTGGTCATCAAGGCTTAATGACCCAAGAGAAAGCCCTGACCGAGACTGTGTAAGTCCGTAAGCAAGTATGTCCTAGATAATGAGATGTAAGCTTGTGAGTGTGTAAGGCAAGTTACTAAACCATCTGTCTTAATCTCTCAGTCTAGGGTCACTAACGTTTAACCACCCAAGGAAAGATATGACTGAGGCTGCTTAATCGAGTACGCCTGGTTTGGTTGATTAGCTTAATCTAACATGCTTGACGATTGTGAGTGAAGTTAGAACGATCACTGAACTTACAAGTTGAGTCGCCTTCTTTTGGATGGCGGCTCACTACTTTCCTTTAATCCATCATTCAAGCATAAGTAGTTCTTACTAAAATTTCTATCATCGTTCCTCATATTCAACGTATTTTCTAATCTATTACTTGTTAATAATATCTCATTACTGAGGAATACATTTTCAGACGTAGACCATTTAGTCAAAGATAAGCAAGCGGAGACCTTTTCTCATCTGATTTTGCCGTTATGCCTTCTTTCAAAAAGGACAGGAGAACTAGTTAAAAAGTGGAAGATAAAAACAGTGGTTAAAGAAACCCTCAGCTATCTTTTAGATAAATATGACCCATTATCTAGATCCAGAGGCTACACGATTGTATGCTTCTTCGGTCGGCCTTATGTTGGTGAGACATGCAGGCCAATTTGACAAAGTCTAGTGTAATACAACGGTCAGAGGTGGCCGAGCATATGACAGATTAAATGGTCTCAAACTAGTAGGCTTGCTGATTATTGTACATCTGTTAAAAGTAAGATAAGAGAGACTATTGAAATTAATAGGTTAGGGAACACGTTGAGCGCGTGGAACAGTGGTAGAAAGTTGAGTAAAAATACAAATGCTTGATTGATAGATTGAAAGATAGAGAGGATTGAGTCGCCATCCAAAAGAAGAAGACTCAACTTGTCTGTTTAGTGATGGCTCTGACTTCACTCACACTCGTCAAACATGTTAGGTTAAGCTCAACCAAGCCAGACGTACTAGATTGCGCAGCTACAGTCATGTCTTTTCTTGGGAGGTTTAACGTTAATGACCCTAGATTGAGAGGTTAGGACAGGTGGTTTCGTAACTTGACTTACAAGCTTACAGGCTTACACCTCATTATCTCAGACTTACCTTCTTACGAACTTACGCAGTCTCGGTCAGGGCTTTCTCTTAGGTCAATAAGCCTTGATGACATTAGCCTATGTTTGATCACTAATTTAGGACAGGTATTGCGTGTAGACGTTAACACGCACACATATTCGAGCAAAAGTAGCAGGACTAGTATGAAAGATAATTAGCTAAACCATTCTATATCTATCTATGCCTATTCGTTTTTATTTTTAGTTATTAGTATATTTAAGAGGTAAAATAGAGCCGGATAGTCTTCCTGACAGGAATGAGTTCCAACTCTGATGTCTATCATATGATGGGCGAAACCTTAGTCCTTTTTCACTCAAATGTCTCGTGGACCAAATATTTTGGTGACACCTTAACCTCACGGACCAGGTGCATGTTCAAACTTCTCTACTTTGAGCTAACTACCTCGTGTCTCTACCGCATTTATTGCGCTTCTATTAATGTTATCAAGTGTATGATTTATTTTCTAATCTATTGTGGGCCAACCCCTAAATTTTATAACTGTTTACTTACCTTACTAAAATCATTTTAGACATCTCTTTATTTCCTATTTTCCCTCGGTGGCCTCTTCCTTGAGATTCCTTCTCGTTATCTTCAACATACTTCTTTGACAGTCTTCGCAAATCTTTTATCTAGTCATTTTCTTTTTCATGATATCCCAGTTTGCTTAAGCAATACGCAACATTTTCTCTTATTCTGTCTTCTTTATTAAATGTCTTCTAGATTACGACTAGACTACTAGATAAAGGAAATGCTAAGACTGGCAAGGCTCACTGACAATATCGCCGAAGCAAAATTTTTTTTCACAGTGTACTCCTTATTTGATATGGATGGACACCATTTATCTCATTGCGTTGCTGAGTACTCTTAGTATATATATATATATAACATGTTAAATATGTGCTTCGGTATTTTTATATTGAAATTGAGCCTACGGTTTAATATTTTTCCACCTTTATCATTCTAAGCCAGTCATTTCCTGTGTTATCTTTAGAATTTACTTAAAACCTAAATATGTACCTTCAAAAGAATCGATAGACTACTCTTTCACAGTCTTCTCTTTTCCTCTACGCCAGGTTTC